TGATATAAATTCCAACTTATTGTGCCAATTTAAACTTTTATTTATGTTACTACTGTGTCATTTGTATTCTGTACAAGCTTCAAAGCTCCAAATACAGATGGACTTTCTTATTTGTGTACAAAAGTCCCATTGATATCAATTATTTTTCCTCCTGTTATTTTTTTTTTTCAAATGTTTTTATTGTGCATTGTATTGTAATACATTAGCATACTATTCCCAATCAGGCTGCACTTTTTTATTGTTAAACACAGGACAATTTTTTTTTTTACTGAATAGTATTAAGGTGCTTCAGTGCTTATCGAACAACCGTTAATGACTAATTAACATAAACAGGATATTATGTTATCTAGCAAAAATAAAAAAGACCAGTCAGAATATGCCAGTACAACATGACCATGTAAACTACACCTGGTGTATTTTGAAATTTTGATGCTTTAAATCAGTGAATTTTTGTCTTCATAAATTACTACCCAAACTTGTGATTAAATGTCAGGCTAAGCATAAAAAGAAAGTTGGGTAGAGTAAGTATTTTCCTATTAAAAGTACAAATATTAACAAAAACACAGCAACCATAAGAGTGATCTGTCTACAATCTGTTCAATGTTCATAAGACGATGTGTACTTATGTTACACAAACCAGGGGCACTGTGATGACATTTTCAACTTAAACAGGAGAGGCCTGGCAGAAGTTCTTTTGGAAAGGCTTCATCTGCCTTTCTTGTTGATGCCTTTCAATGCAGGACTTTGTCTCCAAAAACAGCAGTGGAAGTTCAAAATACAGAAAAGCTCAAATCAGTTTCAAGTCCTCTCCATCATCCTGCATTGGTTCAAATGAGTTTCATTGTGAACCTGCCACCTTCACTTCCATCTCCTCCTCCGCCCATGGAAGACCGAGGAACAAAGTCAATAGTTGCTGTGTGCTTGATCTGACCTTTGCTCTGGCTCCAGAAGAACATAAAAACAAAGCAGATGGCCACTGAGCTTAGGAAAGACAGGAATCCCATAGTAGTGGCAATGATCAGGGTTTTTAAATCAAATGGGAATGGCTTGGTCATTTGAGCTGAGGAGTTGGTGGCTTGGGGGTTAGAAGGCTCAGTCCAACTTTCGTCCATGAAAAACGAGATGGATCTGTTTCCTGGAACCCCCTTCACATACAGACCAACCGTCAGGCTGTCGTTGCCAGCTGCATTGCCTGCCAGGCACTGATACGTGCCGCTGTCCTGAACTTGGGCAAACCGCACTTCTAGAGTACCATTCGGTAAAACTCTGACTCTTCCTGTTGGAAAAATTACATTCTTGTTTGATGAAATCCAAGTGATGGATGGGAATGGATCCCCATCAGCCTTGCAGGAAAACAGAACAGTGGTACCCTCTTCCACCCTTGCCTCCTGTGGCCTGCGGTCCATTATACGAGCAGGACGGCAGGTAAAAATCCTGGGAAGTTCCTTTTCTGAGAAGTCTCTGAATTCACGCAGTTTCACCCCATCAGGAGAGGAACAAGTGGGCTGATGGCCATCAAAATTCAACCGCAGCCTGCGACGAACCACCCAAAGAAGTCTACAGTCACATGCAAGGGGATTCCCATCCAAACGCAACACCTGAAGGTTTCCTACTGAATGGAAAGCACTCTCCTCCAAAGTGGTGAGCTGATTCGATGTTACATTTAGCATGCGAAAAAAGGACAGTCCCCTGAAGGCTCCCGGCTCTATTTTTATCAGACTTGCCCCTGCTAGGTGTAACTCCTGGAGTCTTAGTAGATCCCCTAGCAAATTGCCTTGGATAATAGTGATGGGGTTGTAGGACAAGTCTAGAAAACGCAGATACACCAGATGACGAAGTGCTGCATAAGGAACTGCACTTAAGTTGCAGTTACTGATAACAAGTGAGCTTAAATTAAGACCAATCAGACTGTTACTAGCCATATAGTCCAATGTTGGCCAGTTAGAGATGACAAGGCTCTGCAAACCTTGAAGCCGTCGGAAAGCATTGTTGGGCATTGTAGAAATGGTGAGGCGGAGCATTCGAAGTTGTGTCAGGCTCTGGAGCTGTGACAAAGCCTCTGTGGGAATTGAGGTCAGGTTGCTGCGGTCTAAACAAAGTTCTTGCAGATTCTGCAGTCCAAAGAAAGCTCGTTGGGAAATGAAGACAAGGTCATTCTCCTCGGCCTCCAGCGTTTGCAGGTTGACCATTTCCTTGAATGTGTAGTCCAGGAAAACCAGAATCTCATTCTGGCTTAAATCCAAAAAGCGCAGACTAGACAGACCGGAAAAGACTCCGACCGGGAGGATCTTCAAGCGGTTATTCTTAAGCTGAAGTGTTCTGAGATTCTTAAGGCCCAAGAAAGCCTCTACTTCAATCATGGAGATTAAATTATCACTGAGGTTCAACTCTTGAAGTTGTACAAGGCCAGAGAACTGACGGCGTCCCACAGTCTTAATCCTATTGCGGGATAAATCCAAACGCTTGGCATCATTGGAAAAGCCCTCCGGCACAGAGTTCAAATACTTGCCGGAGCAGATCACTGCTCTAGCTTCAGGTCGACACACACAGCGTGGAGGGCAACCTCCTGCTGATACACCAAGCCCAAACAGGACCAGGACGCTCCATGCACCCCACCGGACAACTGACTCCACAAACATCTTTCTCCCTGCCTGACAAAAGACAGAAATGTATTAATTAGAAAATAATATAGTGTTACTTGAAAAGACAAGAGTCTACAGTTTTAAATCAAATACAGAACAAAGAATGATGCGTTGTACTGAATTTAAATTCTATAAATAAACATAAAATGTGTGGCATGGCAAACCTTTTCAGTCTTGGAGTGCAGATTTTCATAACCAGTGGCAATTAAGCTGAAGTCAGGCTTGAATTCAGTCCTCTGTAGAGACGTTTTCCTGTCAGTATCGTGCCCTTTAGCGGGGCCTGAAAAGAACCTAGAAGCAGAAAAACAAGCCTTAGCAAAATTAATTCTAAAAAAGCACCAGTAACAGTTCAGAGGCCGCTGCTTCTCTTAGAAAAGACATAAGAATAAACCTCATTCATCTAATTAGTTTGACGTTCCTAATGAAAACCCAGGTCAAATAAGATTAAAAAGTGCAGAAGTGCAACTTTCTAAGCTCTATTATCTATTTTAAGCAATGATATCACAATGCACAAAAACAACTGGTACAAAAGTGGAGCCTAAATTAAGAAAGAAAAAAGTGTGCAAACCTTTTCAGCGTTTGCTTTTATTATGGTTGGTATTTTAAAAGTTGATGCACCAAATATAACCAACCTTGATTTTAAAGACAACTCAAATGGACTTTCTTTGCAAATCTAATAACTTTGCTTTAGAATTCATTTCTGGTGATCGTTTAATCCGTTGTAAATTTTATTACTTTTTTCATGAAATTTCATTTAACTTCCCTCACATCCCTTCACATCCTTGTCAAATTCAGAATATAATGCAATATCTTACTTATAACCTACAAAGCCCTCAACAACCTAGCTCCATTTTTTATATATATTTTTTTCAGGTTTATTTTTTAATAATTTCTTCCATTTGTCCTTTTATATTCTTTTTTGTGATTATCTACTGCTGTCATCCAAGTTCTTTGTTTAAAACAGGTCTCTCTTGTAAATGAGTCCTCGAGGCTCAATGAGACTAACTTGTATAAATAAAGGTCGAATGAATGGAAAAAAAATTACAATGAAAGGAAATCAAACAAAAACATATACAGCAACAGATAATCTGATCTATATAATCTCAGGAACAGAGCAAAAGCAATTCAAATTGCATAAATGTTATGCACACTGTAGTTACAGTACATGGTCTGACAAAGCAGAACAAACTAAACACAGTTAAAATAAAAAGTAGAGCGCAATCAGATCCAATGAAAATGTAATCCTGACAACTGTCGTAACATTATCCACTTGGGCGTTGAAGCCTGCAAAACATTAAAAGAACAATCTAGAAAGCAACTTGCTGAATACTGCATGGTGAAACGTTTCATAATTTTATTTCCCTACTGTCTGACATGGTTGACTGTATGAGACAAAGAGATACAAATTATGCATTTCCTATTCAACAACCACTGCTACAGTGCAGCACCAAAGCTTTGAGAAATAAATCTAATATCTAATAATGTCCTACAGCTTCACAGTATTAAAGTTAACAAGATGAGTTTTACTCAAGCAGCATAGAGTATAATGGAGAATAAAAACACAATGCAAAATTAGGTATACTACATGTCTAAGCAAGTCTAACCTGGAACCACAGCGTCTTACTCAGAGCCTTTCCTGAAAGTGAATCAGCCTCGCTGCAGCCTCTTGTTAGTGTTGCAGACGTTCATAGTCCCAGAGCAGCACAGCCTTGTTCTTCATGCAAACATCTTTTATACTAACAGGGTGGGAGTGCTGACTCACAAGCCAAGACTTGCTCTTAAACTCACAGCCCTTGCGTCGGGGTGATAAATCAAAATGTTGGCAAAGCCAAAATATTTCCATGCAATAATTTTCTATATTGTGGAAATTGAGCCAGACAAAACCGGTCAGTGTTCACACCTCAACAGCTTTAGCTACCCTAAAACAATCTTTGGGTTTCTTTAGTCTGTTCTGGGCTTTGCTTTTAGTTATTTTTGCTCTTAAGTTTATGATTTGTAGATTAGGTTTAATTTAATGAGAAGCTAAATGAGTCTTTTAGGTGCTGAAAAACTTTATGGCATATACAGTAATAAAGTCAGTTTAACTATCCCACAGTGACAATACTTCTGCAAATTTATTTTCAGTATCTCCATTTCTTGAAAATGTAAATAAAAGCATTTATTATCAGACACAAAAAATAATGTTTAAACCATTATCAACGGGTTTCTTCAGTTTGTTTTAATTACATGGGAGGTTATTGTAGTTTCAGTGCAGTAAAGAAACCTGTTCCCAAAGCTAAGTTTTCTAAGACAGAGCCTGACAGGTGTGTGATATCCAAGACTGCCAGTTGCTGAGCGTTTTCAGCCAATCACCAACCAGGACCACCCCCCTTGCACGTTCTGTAGACATTATAAAGCTACAATCCACACAAAGGTCACAACACCAGAGTCACAGCTGGGACCGACTCCATCAGTCAAATTAGAAAGAGAGATGAATGCATTTATAATTTCACCATTAATTTGTCACCCTGCTTGGAGTGTTGTCACATTAGTGTTACATTACAGCGTTGATTATGTTATCTATTCTCTATTACACAGTGTCACTTGTGCCTTTTAATTATGAGACTCTGTTTTAAACAAGCTATTACTGCTGTTACATTGAAGTTTGACATTAAAAATGTAATAATGACAATAGTTTATCAAAATAAGAGGAAAATCAAGAGCTTTGCCTTTTGGCTTAGTTCTTTCTTCAGCAAAATGGACTGGAGCAATGCCCTCCATACTGATCCCACTTAAATCTATGGCAGGGGTGTCCAACTCCAGGCCTTGAGGGCTGGTGTCCTGCAACTTTTAAATGTTCCACTGGTCCAAAACACTTGAATCATATGACTATTAGCTTCTCAGTGCAGTCAAGTTCTACAAAGTCCTGCTAATAACCTCCTTATTTGATTCAGCTGTGTGGCGTCAGAGACACATCTAAAAGTTGCAGGACTCTGGCCCTCGAGGCCTGGAGTTTGACGCCTGTGATCGATGGTCACGAGGTCTGGATCATAACCAAAATACAGTTTTTGGTGCAAGTTAATAAATTAGCTTCCTCTGTAGGATGGCCCAGCTCTGCTTTAAATGTAAAATGAGGAGTATTATCGTCTGGAGGGAGCTTGGTGTAGAGCTGCTGCCCCTTGGTAGTGAAAGGAGTCAGCAGAGGTGGTTAAGGCACTTTTCATTCAACCGTTATTTGCCTCTTGGTACATCCCGCTAAAGGTTCTGAGGTCACGTCCCACTGGGAGAACCCATCCAGAGGACCTGACTCAACCTTATTATTGCATTTTTTGCACTATATGTCACTGTTTGTTTGTTTTTTATCAAAATTTACATGTCCTGTGACTTATACACCAAAGCGATTTATTTATGGTTTCCCCCCCATATTTATAAACCAATTTGTAGCTGAGATATGACCGTTTTCATTCATTCTGACTGAACATAATGAATACTACCATGTTTAGCCGCTAGATGGCACTCGAGTAGTATGGCATTCCGTTGCATCATGTAAAAGGTAAAAGTGGCTATTAATGACACAATCGGCTTGCCATAGACTGCCACCTTTGTCCAGCTCGCCTGGAGCAACCGTCAAATCAGCTTCATTTTGCTGCGCCATCCCGGCGAAATGCAACTAATTTGACCATTAAAGTGCATTTTTTAAGTAAAAGTTCAACTGAGACACACCTTTACTATAATGTCGAGCAAACAACTAATTGTTTTACGTGCTTATCGTGTTAAATTTCGAAGAAATGCGCTGCAGCTCGTCCCTCAGCGTGCTCCTACTTCTGCGTATCAGCGTTCGAAACGCAGCTGATTTGACCGTCAAAGTGTATTTATTAAGCAAAAGTTGGACTGAGACACACGTTTGCTATAATTTCGAGCAAACAAATAATTGTTTTTAAGTGTTAATCTTGTTAAAGTCCTCTTTTTGGCACAACACCGGCCCACATTTCCGGGTTGTCAGCGGTGACGCATATTAGATGCAACTTATATGGCGAAGCAATGTATTTATGTTTTTTTCCACTTTATTAGACATATATTTGGACTGATGCGACTTATACGGCGGTACAACATGTACGGCTGAAAACACTATAGCCTTTTTAACAATAATACTTGCAAAAACATGGTTTTTTTGTATTTCTTTTTAAATTGGTTTTAAAATCATTTGTGATTAGAGCTACAAATACATACTATTAGATGCTCTTAGAGTTTGTACATTTTAGTTTTTAGACATATTCCATGAAGTTACACAAATATTTCACCTTTTAATCAAAGTTGAGACCTACAGTACCTCCCACCCATATCCAAAGTTTCAGGGGGATGTTGTCTTCTTTACAGTTTTTGGGTGAACAAATAAATTTAGTTTGTGTTTGTTTATGTTGTTATCCATCCATCCATTATCTATACCCACTTCTTCCTTTCCCAGTATGGTGTGTTCCAGTTCCTGGGGAATGGACCAACATTCTACAGGTCACAATCAACAACCTGATCAGCTCTATGCAAAGGAGACATGTTGCACTGCGTGAGGCAATTGGTGATCACACCAGATACTGACTGGTTTTCTGAAACCCGTGGACCACCCAATACAATAAAAGTGCATGCTTTAGGGTGGCCTTTTCTTATGGTCAGCCTAAGGCACCCCTGTGCAATAATCATGCCGTCTAATCAGCACAATATGCCACACATGTGAGGTGGATGGCTTATATTAGCAAAGAAGTGCTCACCAACACAGATTTACAACAATCTGTGAAGAATATTTGAGAAAAAAAAAAAGTTATTTTGTGCACAAAAAAATTAAAAATGGGAGCAAAAATAAGTGTGTTTACATTTTTGTTAAGTGTATAGTGTTGTTAAGAAGTTTTTATTTATTTATTTTGTTGCTTGATTTTAGTTTTGACAACAGCCAAAGAAATTTTTAAGAAATTAAGGGCTTAAAAAAAAACCCATTGTAATTCCTCTCATCTTAGTACGGTAGCAAC